ATCAAAAGACTACTTAGATACTTAAAATTCAGTGTGGATGCCCTACTCTGCCTAGAACCAGAAACATCCGAGGAACCAAAGCTAACCTGCTATGCCGACGCTGACTGGGCTGGGGACGTAGAGTGCAGAAAAAGCACCTCAGGCTACGTGCTACTACTCAACAATTGCCCCATCCATTGGTACACTGGAAAGCAAAAACTGGTGGCCACATCAACTACGGAAGCAGAATTTGTTTGCCTATCAAAGGCCGCAAACAATTTAGTATGGTTCGATGACCTGCCCTGCGACATCTGGGCTGAACCCTCATATCCAATAGTTATCCACGAAGACAACAAGGCAGCGATAGAGATCTCTAGGGCCGATGCCATAGGTCAGCGTTCTAGGCACATTGACATTAAATACAAACACGTCAGGCAGTTTTCAGAGATAGGTTTCATTAGGGCAGTACACTGTGACACAGAGGAGCAAACAGCAGATATTCTCACTAAACCCCTACCACATAAACAACATGCTTACCTCATGTCAAAAATGCGTGTTTGCTTGTAATTCATGCCTGTACCTGTGTATTCTCTGTATGTATGCAAACACCACCCCAGGTACCCAGTTAGGCATTTAGAGGGGGTTTTGTCATGATAAATGCCTAACTACTATGTCTCCCTGATCACCCGGACCTTCAAGGGTTAACTAACCACATATCCCATAATCCTTATAACCACTCCTTACCTCTTAGCCCCTCCTCCTGGGTACAAAAGGTCCAACCACATGGTCCACATATGATTCCAGATGTATGCCTGAAAGAGAAAGGTACAAGGTCAGTGACCTCCAGTACCAACAGATCAATAATAAAGCTACAGAAAAGAATTGGAGTCTGTCTTTGAGTTATTGGGCTAGATCCAGCTTATAACAGGGCCATTTCCTGAGGTTCTAGCACATGACTCGGCTGAGGACTTAGTGGCCGCCTGGGATAGGGCGGCGGCTGATGCTTTAGACCGAGTCGTGCCTTTGCGGCCTCTGACCCGGTGCCGGTCTCACCTGGCTCCTTGGTATACTGAGGAGCTGAGGGAGATGAAGCGCCAGAAAAGACGCCTAGAGAGCAGTTGGAGGGCTAGTCGTTCTGAATCCGACCGAACACTGGTAAGATCTCATATTAAGAATTACCTAGTGGCAATAAGAGTAGAGAAGAGTAACTACTTTTCTACTCTTATTGCATCATCAGATAATCGCCCAGCCGCCCTGTTTAGGGTGACCCGCTCTCTGTTCCATCAAGAGACGCGGGAAGATCCCTTGGAGGGTAGAGCTGAGGATTTTGTACAATATCTGTATGACAAAATTGCTCAGATTCGTGAACAGCTAGACTCTGACTGGATTGATCCAGAGGAGATGACAGGGGCAGGTCCTGAGAATATTATTTGGGAAGAGTTTGATCCTGTGACTCCCGAAAGCATGGACAGGATACTGAACAGACTAAAGGCGACCACATGTTTATTGGACCCGTGTCCATCCTGGTTGGTACTGGCCTCCCGGGAGGTGACACGAGGCTGGCTCCAGGAGATTATAAATGCTTCTTTGAGTGAGGGTGTCTTTCTCACCGTCTTGAAAGAGGCGGTGGTGAGGCCCCTCCTCAAGAAGCCCTCCCTGGATCCAGCTGTATTAGCAAATTATCGTCCTGTCTCTAACCTTCGCTTTGTTGCAAAGGTTGTTGAGAGTGTGGTTGCACGACAACTGCCTCAGTACCTGGATGAATCGAATTATCTAGATCCGTTCCAGTCGGGATTCAGGCCCGGGTACAGCACAGAGACAGCATTGGTCGCATTGGTTGATGATCTCTGGAGGGCTCGAGACAGGGGTTGCTCCTCAGTCCTTGTCCTATTAGACCTCTCAGCGGCTTTTGATACCATCGATCATGATATCATGCTGCACCGGTTGGAAGGGTTGGGGGTGGGGGGCACTGTTCTACAGTGGTTCTCCTCCTTTCTCTCTGACTGGTCGCAGTCTGTGTTGACAGGGGGGCAGAGGTCGACCCCGAGGCCCCTTATATGTGGGGTGCCACAAGGATCGGTCCTCTCGCCCCTTCTATTCAACATTTATGTGAAGCCGCTGGGTGAGATCATCCGTGGTTTTGGGGTGAAGTACCATCAGTACGCTGATGACACCCAGCTGTACATCTCCACCCCAGACCACCCCAATGATGCCCTCGCGGTGATGTCCCGGTGCCTGGAGGCCGTACGGATCTGGATGGGGAGGAACAAACTCAGACTCAACCCATCCAAGACCGAGTGGCTGTGGTTTCTGTCGTCCCGATATAGTCAGTTGGCGCCATCTCTGACTATTGGGGGCGAGTCGTTGGCCCCCACAGATGGGGTTCACAACTTGGGCATCCTCCTGGACTCACGGCTGTCTTTTGAAGAGCATATGACGGCCGTAGCCAGGAGGACTTTTTATCAGGTTCGCCTGATTCGCCAGTTGCATCCCTTTCTGGATCGGGACTCGTTACGCACGGTCACTCATGCCCTTGTCACCTCACGCCTGGATTATTGTAATGCTCTCTACATGGGGCTCCCCTTGAGAAGCACCCGAAGGCTCCAACTGGTCCAGAATGCGGCCGCGCGGGTGGTAATGGGAGCAATGTGGCGCTCTCATGTAACCCCCCTCCTGCGTGAGCTGCACTGGCTCCCAGTGGTCTTCCGGGTGCGCTTCAAGGTTTTGGTTACTATCTTTAGAGCGCTCCATGGCTCAGGACCAGGGTACTTACGAGACCGCCTCCTGCCACCAATAGCCTCTCACCGACCAGTTCGCTCCCATAGAGAGGGACTCCTCAGGGTGCCGTCGGCCAAACAATGTCGACTGACGGCCCCCAGGGGGAGAGCCTTTTCTGTGGGCGCACCTACCATCTGGAACGGGCTTCCCCCGGAGTTACGAAACATCCAAGACTTACGCATTTTCCGCCGAGCCCTGAAAACATTTCTATTCCAACAAGCTGGTCTGGCCTAACTCTCCCTTTTTAATTGGCTTTTAAACTGTCTTTTAAATTGGGTTTTAAACCTCTTTAGATAAATTTGGATGTTTTTTAATCTTTGAGCCTAAATTACTTAATCTGTTTCTTAATAGTTTTTAACTTCTATATGTATTTGTATTTATTATGGCTGTTCACCGCCCTGAGTCCTTCGGGAGTAGGGCGGTATACAAATATGAAAAATAAATAAATAAAATAAATAAAGGAAGGCAGAGAAAATCCAAATATCTATAAATATAAGTTTAAAAAAAATCTGCCTTTTCTAAATCCTGTCAAATGAATAAAATTTACCATGGGCACTGAATTCCATGCTCTTCCTTTGCATGCCCTTCTACCCAGAGAAACATCGTTTTTCCATTTAGATTCTATTTTAGTTTCTGTCGCTGGAAAGGTTAATCATGTGCTTATTATTCTTCCCTCTTATAAGATCCTTGATATACCGGTAGTTTAAAACAGAAATTAAAGGATTAAGAAAAAAATGGCATACTATTTTCTCTATTATCTTAACTTACATTTTCTCCCAAAACTAGCCCTCTAGGTCAATTAAAGGGGTCATATCGAAACAGTAGCATGAATACTTGAATAATTCTAACAGAAAATAAGTAGTGAGACAGTTTTCAGTTTTCGCTGAACTCATCCTGTAGATCAGTGTTTTTCATGACAAATCTATGTCACAAATCCAGCCGACCTGGGATTTTATTCTGGGCACTGGGAGCCTTGAGCACCATTCTTGGCAGGAAAAAAGAAAGAAAAAAATTCAAATTCAACAGAAACAGCCTGAAAATGCATTTCCATCAGAGGGATGTGGGTACATATGCAGATGATGCCAACAGTGTGGTTAGTGGTTAAGGAAACCATCACTATAATTTACCTGTGTTAGTGTTTGAAACAGGTAGCCCTTAACTTATGACCGCAATGGAGCCCAAAATTTTTGTTGCTAAGTGAGACATTTGTTAAGTGAATTTTGTCCTATTTTGCAACCTTTCTTGCCATAGAGGTGCTTTTTCAAGAGGCAACTGGACTTTCTGGTTTTTTCTTGAAGACATTTCACTTCTCATCCAAGAAGCTTCCTTGGGTCTGAAGAAGCTTCTTGGATGAGGAGCAAAATGTCTTTAAAGAAAACCCAGAAAGTCCAATTGCCTCTTGAAAAAGCACTTTTGGAACAACCATGACCTGGATGACTGAGAATCTCTGTAACACTTTCTTGCCACCGTTGTTAAGTGAATCCCTGCGGTTGTTAACTTAGTAACACATTTGTTCAGTGAATTTGGCTTCCCCATTGCCTTTGCTTGTGGGATCACACGACCCCAGGACACTGCAATCGTCATAAATATGAGTCAGTTGCCAAGCGGCCAAATTCTGATCACGTGACCATGGGGATGCTGCAACAGTCATTAAGTGTGAAAAACAGTCATAAGTCACCTTTTTTCAGTGCTGTTGGTCACTAAATGAACTGTTGTAAATTGAGGACTGCATGTACAATCTAACAGAGCCAGTGTGATCAGTGTGGTCAGGATGCTGGAGCAGGGATGGAAAGACCCAGGCTCCAATCTAGCCTCAACTGAGGAAGTTCATTGGATGACTCTGGGCCCCCCAAGATCTCTACCACCAACTACCTCCAGTTGGTTGAGAAAATAAGATCGTTGGCCTTTAAAGCAGTGGTGAAATCCAAATTATTTTACTACTGGTTCTGTGGGCATGGCTTGATGGGCGTGGCGTGGCTTGAAGGGCGTGGCTGGGTGGGCGTGGCAGGGGAAGGATACTGCAAAATCTCCATTCCCACCCCACTCTGGGGCCAGCCAGAGGTGGTATTTGCCAGTTCTCCCAACTGCTCAAAATTACCGCTACTGGTTCTCTAGAACCTGTCAGAACCTGCTGGATTTCACCCCTGCTTTAAAGCGACTTTGACAAGGCTTCTCCTTCCTTTGCTCTGTCCATGTTTCAATGCTGCCTCAAAGCGGGGACCCAGTGGCCCAAACGACCACTTAAGAAAGGATCCTTTATGCACGTTTGTCAGGGGCTTTGGGGGTTGGTTCCCCTGGGCTTCGTGGTGTTGGGACAAGAAAAGTCCCCTGATGACCCCACCTTCCAAAGCTTTGCTCCAACCAGGGATTGCTGGCGACCCAGCCCATCCGGAGCCAAAGGGGACCAGGCTCCGCGGGCAGAAGGCCGGGGCTTCTCCGATCCTTGGTTTTTAACCGGGCCAGGTCGATGCCACGGAAGGCCAAGGCCAGCCCCGGAGGGAACTTTGGCGGCGCCCGGGCTGCCCATCTGGAAGCGTGACTCGGGCAGGAGAGGGGAGGGGCGGCCCAAGCGGCCAGCTTCCCTTCTCGCCCTGGCCCTGCCCGCGCCGGGGCGGGGAAGCGGCCTTGAATCACCGGCGGGTGCCCGTCGCCTGGCCTCCAGCGGGGCATTTAAATGCCAGCCGGGATTCGGGCCGAAGCAGCGCCAGCCGCAACCGCCCCCTGATCGCGCCCCTCCCGCTCCGAGAGGAACCCGCGCGGTCGCGTCCCGCACAACCAGGCAGCCAGCCAGCCAAGCGAGCACCCGGCCGGCCGGCAGCTCTTGGTGCGCCTCCTCCGCCTCGGCCGGCTCTCCTTCAGCAGCCATGCGGGCCATCCCTGCGCCGGGCATCCGCTTCCTTCGCTCCTTCTCCAGGGACAGCTGGTAAGAAGGGCAGCCGGCCCCCTCGGCGGCAACGGCGCCGGCTGGCTCTTCGGGGGCAGGGAGGGCGGGTGGCGGGGCCAAGAGAGGCTGCTTCGCTCCCTTGTGCTCTGCTAGGCCTGGCCTGATCGCCCCCCGGGCCTCAGCCGCTCCAACAAAGAGCCGCTCGCGGGGACGCAGCCCAGCTGCCCGCGGAGCTGCGGGCCGGCAACGTGCAAAGCAGCAGCGGGGCATGTGCCGGGGATGCCCGGCTGGCTCGCGACCGGCCTTTTCTGGGCAGTCGAGCGGCTGAAGGTCGGCAGAGAAGCGGCGCGTGTTAAAGGAGGGCGCCCCTGGACCAGCTTTCCCTTCCATTGTTCTCGAGAGATCCAGAACCTCCGCGTTAAGGATCTGCTCGGGCCCTTCAGATGAAAGGATCTGAGGTCCAGCAGGGCTGGGCTGGGAGCCTCCGAATCCGATGCAGTTTACAGTCTCTCTCTAAGGAGAATCCATTCCTGGGTATCCCCTGCTTTCTTCTTTGGGGCACGAGGCGGAGAAAATCAGAGGACCTTCGTTTTGCTCTGGGATCTGTTTAGTGGAGGGAGGTGGGAGTGGATCACCCTGAGTTCAAGAGCCGGACTTGGGATAGGAAGGCTTATTGTGGTTTTGTGGGAAAAGGCTAGGATGGTGAGGAGTTATTGCAAATTTGGTTGGTGCATTGTTATTACATTATATAATGTAATGACAATGAAAGCAAGCAGATTGGCTATGTGGCTCCTGCAATGCCTTCAGATAGTTGGTTATCTTGGAGGGAGAAGAGTCAAGACAGACCACCTTCCCCCTTCAGGTCAGTTGCAATTGAGAGTCCTCAAATGTCAAGGCATCTTCCAGCTGCAAACAGTGGGAGTTCCGGATACACAAAATGTGCAATCACAGATCAGTGTTGGGCTCCATGTCCAGTCTTTGCCATGTGCAAGACAAATAGTGATCTCAATTTCCATGGCGTATAGGCAGTCCTCAACTTAGGACCACAACTGAGACCTCAGTGTCAGCTGAACGGCAGGAAAACCATGGAGTGGTGGGGATGGGAAAGCAAGGTCTATCCTACATCAGATTTTGTAGGAAAGATCTTCCACCGGATCATAAAATTCATGTTACTTATTGCTTGTGAGGTTTTCCTTCAGAATATAAGAAGACAGCCTTTCCTGAATGTCATTTCTCACATGTTTAGAAATTATTCCAAATGATTGGATGGGTGCAAAAATCATTATGCAGAAAAGATTCCAAAGAGAGCAATAATTGAGTTCCTGGTGGATAAGGATGGTTTTGCTCTGTGTTCCTAAAAGATTTTTTTTTTTATTTCCATTGAGATCTGTCTTAATCTGATTAACACCCTTTGCTGGTTTGGCCACAAACAACAAGAAGTATCATTCTGTCTTGCTAACATTTTCTCAGTGACAGTAATGTCCACCGTCATATTCTTTCTTTCCCTCATCAGATTTTTGCCATTTCCAACAGTGTGGCATCTTTATGTAGTGCCTGCAATCTATACAATCTTCCTGGGTCAGCTAAGTTTTACCTAATTTTTGCAGGTGTCACAAGAATACAATCTGAGTTTGTGTGCCAGGGACTAGAACAGGTTATTGTGGTTTATTTGATTGAGCCAAGGGATATCACATTAATTATCCAAAGATTTCACATCTCTCCATTTAATTACCCCAAACACAGTGATGATGATTTGTATTGGTAAGCAATTGCAATGGAAATTATCCTTGTCTTCTGAGACTGGATTGTTCCAGTTTTGCCCTCATGCTGCATTTGTAAATTGTGTGTGTTTACAAGATTGACAAGTCCCTCCTCTGTAGCTTTTCTGTACAACAGTGTAGAGCAATCAGGTCATCTCTCCCTGGTCTTGTTTTATAGAACGAACAGATCAAGCGTCTAATGAGAAATCCCAGACAAAACACTCAAAAAGAAAGCACTCAGGCATTAGTGGTAGGTTTTTCTAAGGGAGCAATTGCTGCTCATTTGAGTATGCACCTTCCACTCTCGAGGACTGGTGAGTAACTTGCATCTGGGATCAAGTTGTTATAGATGGAACACTAGAAAGGCATTCCTTTCATCTCACAATCGTTGGTTGTCAACAAATTTAGCACCCACACACCAGTAAGAGAGCAAACTGTGCTTGTAAGACTTGGGTGTGGCCTTCTCCAAACAGTGAAGCCAAACAACCAAACTTGTTTTTATTAGGAATTAGGCACATGCTTAAAAAAACAACTTGCTAGGTCTGATTAGCAATAGCACTTAGACTTACTGTACATACCGCTCCGTACTGCTTTACAGCACTGTTTGGATGGGTTACAATGTCAGCATATGCCCCCCAATAATCGGGGTCCTCATTTTACCAACCTCGGAAGGATGGAAGGCTGAGCCTATCTTGAGCCCGTCAGGATTGACTGTAAGCAGATTTAGCCTGCAATACTGCACTCTAACGACTGCACCACCAGGAATGGTCTTTCTACAAATTTCAGTGACCTGTTTTCCTGTGCTAACAAGCCAAAAGACCCCGAGAAGCCCACAGACAGTGGTTTGTCATCATTGTTCCCCAGTAACCACCATCTAGAGTCAAAATACATTTCTGATTCTGAATGTAGCATAACATCCTTACAAATAGAAGCCATTGATATGTAAATATCTAAAAGCAGGAATGGAAGGAATGGGTCAGCTCTTCCAAACCCAAGAATTACCTGGTGCCCAGAGATTGTTAGTCATATTAAAACAGAGCCTTCTACATGAAGACCTTATTCCAAAGATCACCTGACAAGTGGAGCTATCATTTCATTTCAGGGACTGGGTTCTTTCCAGGCTGTCTTTGTTCTTTCTCTATGCATTGACATAGTTTGTTTGGGGCAGATCTTTCTCATTGTCAGCTGCAATCATCCTTACTATTTGCAACTTCCGCACTGGAATCCTCTAAAGAGATTAAGAAGCATATAAGATACAAAGAACATATATTGTAATATATTTGCACATCCTTATAATTTTGTTGCCACGGTTTAAACCGTTATCATTCAGCATGCCATTGTTTAATTTATTATTCAGATTTTGAGCCTGCAGTGTAAGAACTATTTTTATATAAATACTAAGTTGCAGAGAGACACAATTGCTGTTCCCAGAAACATGAGGCAGAATGTGCATTCAACAGCCACCAAACCACACTGTCAACATGGAATAATAATTCAGCTAATAGCATTGAAACTTTATTGGGAATTCCATTGAGCTGTCCCTCCCATTTGCGTCATTCTAGACCTTCCTGGCTCAAATTGGATTTTCAAGATCATTGCCAATCTTAAGCATTAGATCCTTTGCTCCTTATCAGTATATTCACATGCAGAGCTCTTAGGCAAGACGGTGATGCGTGGAAGCTGAATTAGACCAAAGGTCTATTTTCCTTCGGATCCTGTTTTGCACAGTGCCCAACCAGAAGCTTTAAGCAGGCGGCAAAGACTGTGATTCTCTGCAGACTAATCAATGTTCTTCTTCTCTCCATTTGCAAGTGTTGCTAACGTAATGCTGAGATCCAGTTTGACTTCTTTTGTGCTTAAGTTCCTGCAAGCATAAAATGACTCATGTAATATTTGGATATTGGCTTTGTTTTAAGCACTTCTTCTTGGGGCTCCAACTCATGGAAGAAGGAAGGCTAGGAAATTTGGTGGTTGTTGTTGTTGCTATCACCTTCCCCAATCTCTCAAAAAATTTCAAAACTGCTGTTATTAATGGGAATTTTGTGAAGTTCAACACACTTGAAGAGCTGATACTTGTAGATTTGTTTCCATACTTTCTGCCATGAATCATTTGACTCCTACTTCATGCTGTTCTTCAGAGGATGTCCACCGATAGGTCTGTGGTCCTAAACTGGTGATCCCCAAATGACAAAACTTGTGTGATAATACCACAACAGTAAAGCACCTGAAGAAAAGTCAGCTTTGATTTTTTTTTCTAGCCAAATTTGATCTTCACTATCCTCTTGGGACTGACTAAAACCAATCAGGTAGAGTTTTTGTCCCAGCCTAAATCCATTCAATTATCTTGGGCTATAACACTATCATACCCTCATCTCTTTATTAATTAATAGGAGTTAGGTTAGTGTGTGATGCAGTTGTTCTGGATTCCAAAAGGCCCACTGACCTACCTTTGGCTTACAGAAAGTGCCATAATTAGACTGTCAATTGCACAAGAGTCAATACCTGTTAAAGAAAACTCTGGCTACCTGTGCACACTAAACTAAGGCAACATGTGGTTCATTTGGCTTGTCTTAGTGATGTATGAGCCCAGCTGTTGTGCTTTGTGTGCTATTGTAACGGAAGGATAGTTCTGGCTTATTCAACCAAATACAGTTAATGTCATCATGTCTTAGAACAACCTGTTTACCCAGCAGATAAAATCCATTTTATCAACTCCAAACATCAATAGCTTTAACCTTTCAAATCATATTTTTATTATTTGGCATTAGTCGTGTATTATGAATTACATTTATTTTCCATTCAATCTTTTCAACTGGAGATACTAGATATGAGCATTTAAATCAGTTCCTTTTTTTTCCACTCAAGAATCTCTAGCTCAAATGTCATAAATAGCCAGAGAGTATTAAGCAACACAAATGACCTGGTTTGTCTAATTGCCAAGGGCACAATTGAACAGAGATATAATAAGAGTTTCAGGGGGGTTCCTGTACATCCTTGTAGTAGTTTTTATTCTTTCCCCATTTCCACCCAACTATAATGATATTTCCATCTCATTTTCTGCCAGATGCTGTCCTCATCCAACACAGATTTGAGCAAAAAGAGAAAAGTTAAAGGTCAGCGACACAGGATAAATTACTCCATTTTTTAAAATCTACAGATTTTTAAAGGACAAGCTCAATGAGACATAAAGATAGAAATATTTCCCAAATATTGGCTAAATGTTATATACAGTTGAACAAAGAACAACACATTATTTTTTTCTTCCTCTTGGCTATTACC